ATATGGTAAGCCCATTAGAATAGTAATTTGATTTTATATTTGGAAGTGTGTATATTTGTACAGAAAGGTGTGTGTTCATTTTTAACCACACATCTGATATTCAAAAGACATTCTAGGTGGAAAAGTGTTAAATTAATTACAATATATAAGTAGCTGGTAATGTATTTCATGGATTTATTTGCATGTAAGATACCTCTTTTGAAAGCTCTTACATTCTTATGAATATTGAATTATTTGTTCTGCTTTTTACACTGTCTACAATATATGGTAGAACTTGGATGAAATCAGCTTAAAGCTGAAGCACTTTATTTAAACACATTTTTTTGTGGAAGGCTGATGGTGAATAGACAGATTGTCTTAGCAGGTGAGCAGACTCAGAGCAAGATGGTTTTACAGAGACCTCATTACATGAAGTGCAGACTTTCCTGAGCTCTAGTTAGGGTAGGGTGGTTTGCAGTCATTAACTTGGTAAGAGGACAAGTGAGCTTAATCTTTATTTTCAATTCACACAAGTTTAATTGATATGAGGTGCTGTCAAAAACATCTTGGGAGCCTCCCAGACAAGCTGTGCTAATCAGCTAAAAGTTTTCAAATCTTTTGGAATTAGGTGCATACATTCCAGCACAGTATGAGGCTTCTGAGTGCTTTTTGTTCCATGCCCAGGTGCAGAGAAAGTCTGCTTTAAAGATTCTGTAGGTGGGTTGGTGGTTTCTTATTTTGTACTTCACTTTTAGTTTCCCCTTTTAGCACTTTTGCTACTGGGTGGGTGTAGATGTCACAAATTTACAAGTGAAAAACAAATAGAGTAGAAATAAACAAGAGAACCTTTCCAAAAAGATGATTTAAAGATTTTAATTCCCAGACTGAACTTTGGCCATAGGTAGCACGGTGTATAAGTCTTACCCAAAATAATAAAGAACACAGCTACAGGTCTCATAAGCTGCTATTTAACTCCATGAGTCATTTCCAGCTCTTCTCCAGACATGAAGGCATTTGAACAAGAGCAGCCGACCATTTGGCTGTCTTTTAAACCGTTTTCAGTAAATCAAATGGAGGAACTGTGTGTTTACAGTTAAAGGATGAGGATTGCTGGAAGCTGCACAGCACATACTTTACAGCAGGAGGTCATGGCTAGATAGAAAATAATCCTATAAATCCTCGCTAACATCCTTCATCTGTGTAACAACATAGCCAACACCCAACTCTTCCATTCTGTTGGTCATCTTCATTTTAGAGATTAGAGATTTGAAAGGCATCTGTATTTTTTTCAACATCTGGACAACTAGCATTGTAAAAAAATGGCTAGGAAATATTACACACCATGACTCCTTTATGTGTATTTATTAATTCATGGTCTCATGGCGCCTATTAAAAATCTTGCCATAATAGATTACAGACTGGAAAGGAAAAAGATAGGTAAGAGCCTGTTCATTTTTAAAATACTGTTGCTATTTATGCCACATCTACCTGCAGACATGTTCTGTAAGAGCCTGGAAAATGGGAGTGCTTATTAACAAGAAAAAGTAGCACAGCTCTGTAAAATATTTTGATAGATAAATGCATTAACATGTATGAAATGGAAAACTGAACTTTGCTTTTGCATAGCAGAGTTACATCTCAGAAACACAAGAGCACTTATTATTATTGTGATCCAGCAATGGAAACAGTTTGAGGATGTTGTTTTCATTTAATAGTTGTGTGAAATGTGCTTGCAGGCAAAACGTTTCATTTGGAGGTTTTAAGACTGCATTTCTCCCCTAGTTATTACTTTAATGTATCAGGAAAGTTTTAAAAGAGGGGTGTGAAAGGAAGGCTCATCCTAAACCACCATAATGGAAATTTGCTTTCCTTTTTTGTATCCAAACAAAACAAAAGATTTGACTCAAGATTTTAAGAACCCATAAAAAGGAGGAAATACAAAAAGCACAATTAAAATTTCACCATCTGCTCACTCTAAATCAGCAAGGAGAAGGGGGAGGTTTCCCTTCTGCACAACCATTATAATCAGAATTGCAGTAGAAAAATTAAGTGGATGTGGAATAGGCACAGCGACATTCAAGTGACACTCGGGGCAGGACAAAATATGGAAAAAAATGTAGAGAGCCCCTGCTTGACATTTTCCTCTTCTGTGCAATTCTATCCCTCTGCAACTGTGTTTTAATGGTTTCTGCCTGCCTTTGGTGTTGCCTTATTACCTCATGTGGGCCACATGTGAGCACTTTAATCTGAGGCGGAAAGGAACCTGTTTGCCCCATCTGTCCTGGCTTGCACGTGTTGGTGCTGCTGTTATTGCTGGCAGCTGTGCTAATGTGTGAGGCCACCTGCCACATGGCAGATACTGCAGCTTTGGGTAAAAGCTTCCCTTTCCCCCTTTGCTGGAAGTCTAGATGGCTAAAGTTCTCCTTTTATTATTTTAAATGTGTCAAAACTATTTACTCTTAAGTCATGTGATACTCAATTACTCCAGGGTACCAAAAAAACCAGAAGGGGATTCTCTAACCCTTGCCATGTTCATCTTTTATATTGGTACAGTTTTACCATGTTGATTAGTTTTAATATTTTTGTTATTTACCTGCAATAGAACTGTCATTTGGTACATTCCTGTATTTTCTGCTTTTAGATGCAGTGAAGAAAGGAGGAACAGATTTGAGCACAAAATGTTACGGTTTGGGATTAGCATTTCTGATTAGGTGGGCTCTTTGTTCTTGGACAAGCAGAGCCCTGGTAATGCTTCGTGCTGCCCTGTGGTGCCCCTCTGGGCACGTGTGAACAGCCTTTGGATGCAGCAAGGTGCTCTGACTGCTTCTGTGTGTGCAAACCACTCACCATATTATGCTTAACTACATCCTGAGGTGATTACGAGGATTAATTAATGCTTAAATCCTTTGAAGGCACCGGATGCTTTACAAATGCTAATTATTATATTCAGGTTTGCTACCTTGCTATTCAGGGATTAGATCTCACTTAAGCAATAGGTGGGGAAGCTGTGAGATGTATGTGGAAAGAAGAATTAAAAGTAATAAAGAGTCACGGAGAGCCTAAGCCTCCCTGCAGCCTGTTTGTGCAGTCCTAATAAACTGCCACTTTTCTAATTTGGTTTTGGAGCCTAATTACTTCTATTTTGAATGTCAGAAGGAGTGTCTCCTCCATAATGTTCCATTGGGAGCTGCTGTTACATTTTGCAGTTTTAACCTCCACTGGCATTTCTGTGAGAATTGGGGACTATGTGTAGATACTCTAAAAATGTGGCTTCTTGTTTTCCCTATACTGTTCTGGAATTAAACATTTCATGGCTTTTTGCAAAGCTTGGGGCATCTGTATCACTGAGAGAATTGTCTGCTCCTTGTCTGGACACTGAAAACTGGACAGGACCTTGTGTACTAAGTGCTGGTCCCCTGAATAAGGTTTGTGACTGGTTACTATTCCGTGAGAAAGCTACTTTTAGTAACCTGTGATCCAACCAGCTAGTCCCAATTCTGACTGGTTAAAAAATTAAGTGCACATCCAGTATCCAGCTGTGTCTGTGCTTTTAAATTCCACATCAAAGCTATATGAGACTTGGACTATACAAAGCAGAGCTGTTTGCACATTTCTTAAAGATTTGTTCATAGCTGAGAGTAGGAAAAAAAGAGGGCAGAAAAGCACAGTAAGGTTTTTTCAGGCTGTTTTATTGGTGCTGCTGCTCTGCAGATGGGCCTAGAGTACCAGCTTCACATCTACTTGTCACAATGACACAGTTAAGAAAGAGGTTTGGGTATGGATCAAGGTGAAGAAATGGAAAAAACCTTACAGAAGAGAGGTGATCACTGGCACAGGTTACCCAGAGACCTTGGAGTTGGAGAGATTCAAAAACCATGAGGGCACACTCCTGGGTAATCTGCCCCAGGTTAAGTAGGGGATTGGACCAGGAGACTTCCTAGGATCGCTTCCAACCTCAACCATTCCACAGTTCTGTGAGATGGCACAAAGCAAAAGGAGCTGATAGAAAGGTGTAAGGTGGAGGCAGTCACAAAGAGCAGCAGAGATGCTCACAAAGATGAGAAAGTGTGGTTCTGAATTTAAAATCCTTGTGTCAAGGCTGGTCTATTTTACCACTAGCTCACACTCAGTGAATCATGAAGGTTTTGTGCATCACCTCGATCTATAAAATGAGGATAGTGTTTGTCACTGTGCTGTTGCAATGGCAAGGTCATCTATAGGTATAGTTTGACGTTAAGTCAAGGGTGGCCACAATTCTTGGAAGGAGCAAAATGAAGGGTTTGGTATTAAAAAGCCCAAAACCAAACTAAGAACTAAACCAAACTCCTTCCTAGGAAGCAAACTGTTTGAAAGACAGGAGAGCTCCTTTCTTCCAAGCCACTTTTCGTCAGCAAGCATGGTCTGACCTGACCCCCCAGTGACAGAGAGAGGGGAGAGCTGCTGCCGTGTGCCTTCGTTCGCTGCCCGTGTTGACAGCGCTGGGCACAGGTGCTGTGGCAGCCGGGACAGCGCGAAGCCCGGTCCTGACTGCGGGGACAGACGAGTGCAGGATCTCCAAGCCGGCCCGCCTCACAAAGCACCAGGCTGGCGCTTGCAGTCACTCAGGACTGGGGATTCTCAAGGCTGCCTAACCTTTTTCTTCAGAGGTTTGCTGTTGTTTTGCTTTGGCTTTTTTTTTTTTTTAACCTCTGATCTTTTCTCTTTGTTCATTGTTGTTTTGCTTTGCCTTTTTTTTTTTTTTTTTTTTTTTTTACCTCTGATCTTTTCTCTTTGTTCACACCAATTATGACCCATTAACTTAAAAACAAAAAGCAACAAACCCGAACCAAACACAACGCGCCACCCTCCCGGCGCGGAGGCGGCGGGCCCTCCCTGTCCGCGGCCCTCGCTTCCCTCCGCGGCCCCGGGCGGGGGCCGGGCCGCGGATGGGGCTCCCCCATCTCCCCGGGCCGCTGCCACAGCCACCCCCCGCCTCCGAGCGCGGCTCTCCCGGCCCGCCCCGCCGGCAGCAGGGCGGGAGCGCGGAGCGGCGGCTCCTCCCCGGGGCGGAGGGACGCGTTCGCCGCCTCCCGCCCGCCGCCGCCGCGGGGACTCGGTGCCGGGCGGCTGCTGGCGGCGTCTCCCGTCCCGTCCCGTCCGGTCCCGGGGATGTCCGGCGGGGGCAGCCGGCGGCGGGCCGGCTCCTCCTGGCACAGCACTTTCTCTCGCTTCTTCTCCAGGAGCCCACCCGGCGAGGGGGCGGCGAACAGGTACGCGGGGCACGGGGGCCGCGCGGTGCCACCTGCACGGCCGGGGGACAGCGGGGGGCGCGGGGCTGAGCGGGGCCCCGGGCCGCGTTGCGACACTGCTGGGTGGCGGGGCAGCGGGAGGAAGCGGCGTTCCCCGCGGGGAGCCCGCGCGTCCCGGGGGCGGCTCCTGGGACGGCGGCGGGGCGGCGGCGGCTCCGGGGGAGCTGCGAGCGGGCTGCGAGCGGGCTGACAGCTGCTGCCGCGGCCGGGAAGGGCGGGCTGTCCTGGGGCAGCGCTGCCGTGCGGGCACGGCTGCTGCTGGGCGCTGGGGCCGCGGGACTCGGGGGCTCCCCGGGAGGTACATCGAGCACCCCCGGCCCCGCCAGGCTCGGCGGAGCCCCGGTGGAACCTGCTGGGAATAGAGCACCCCCGGCTCCTCCACCGCGGTCAGCGTCCTGTGGCCGGGTCGCAGCCCCTTCCTCGGGGACTGGAAGCAGGGCAGGGCGCTGAGGGCTTTGAGGGCTTTGTTTGTTTGTTTTTCCTTTCCAGCTTTCACGCTGAAAGTTTTCTTTTGGACTGGTGTAAATCAGGCGTTAATGCAACATAAATATTACTGGTGTGTTTAAGTCTCAATGCAAAAATTGTGGTTTATGGAAACTTCGTTATTAATATTTTTTTAGCGCGGGGAGACTTTACAAGATGAAAAGGTTTGGAAACTTCTTGTGTATTTGTTCCTCTTCCTTTTTTTTTAAATTATTCTGGTGGTTGATTTCTGTCTGTAACTAGGAAAGAAGCAGAGGTAAGTTTCCTTTAGTTTCTCAGGCAGCCTTATTGTCAGCCCAAGTTAACGAGCATATTTCTGTGGTGAAAAGGTGTTAACTGCCTAGGCCTTACTTCCTCAGGTGTAGTATTTATTTTTTGCTTTTAACATGTTGGTTTTAATCTGAGTCATTCTTGATACAGGGCATAGGTTTGTGTTTAAACTGAGACAGTAAACGCTGTTTAATCAGATAGCGGCTATCGCAGTAGTTCTTGCAGTGAAAAGCTGTAGAAACTTGCATATTCTCAGCAGTCATGGGAAATACAAGAGCCTATTGCTCTTTTGCACTGACCACCTTAAACAGTCCTGTAAATGCACCATAAGGATGTTTAACTTCGCGGAGTTTGTTTCACTGTAAGCATTTGACATGCCAGTACACCACCAAGAATCCACTGGTCTTTTATGAGTAGAAAACACTGCTTTTTTATTTAATAGAAAAAAGAAATTGGGAGCAAGGCTGCTGAATCAAGGACATCTTTTCAATTGCTGGAATAGCCTGGCTGTTTTGTCTGCTGGGGGTGGTTAAGATACGGGAGAAGGCGAAGGTTTGGATCTGGCTGAGGACCTGGAGAGGCAATAGGACAATTTTCCTCGGATGACACCTTGCCAGCTCCCTACAGCTGTGGTTTGGGATGAACAAAAAAGCCTCGCGGTCACCTCGGTGAGGAGGAGAGTGATGCCACTTCAGTGGTTTGTGCACTACATGGCCGGTCTGTAGGTAGCACTCACGGCAGACCTACTCCACTTAACTCGGGGCTGCAGTCTAATCTCTGTCCCAATCACAGTTTCATTTCCTGCAGCCAGGAGCCTTACCTTTATTCGGGAGCTGGGATAGTCGGCGCAGATATGCAAAGGCTGCGGCCCCTCGGCCTCGTTCTTGAGCTCCTCACGAGGTTCCCTGTGGGGCCGGGGCTCCTTCCTGGAGCGGAGGCAGGCGAAAGCCCTGGCCATCCCCAGTCCCATTCGGCATGTTAAGGAGCTTTTCCTTGTTGTGCCGGGCTGCAGCGTGGCACGTTCGTCAGGAATGCTGACGTTCTCGTATTTGGTTTCCAGTGGCAGCCTTGTTGGCAGATTAGCGTAATTGCATACATTACCCAGCGCCGGGCTGGGATGAGTGCCGCAGGTTCGCTCCTCGGGTTTGTTCGGCGAGCTCGGCCCTGCCGCAGGATGGATCGCTGAACAAAGCCAGAGTGCGGGCAGGGAGCACCAGGGCTGCCCTGGGTGTTTGCTGTGAAGGTGTGGAGTGCCTGGGCGAGTTGGGGAATGCAGCTTTTGTGAAGGGCTGGGAGAAATGTATGCACCGGCATGGAATCCCCTTCGGGTTATTGGTAGGATATATGCTGGAACCACACCAAGTTTGATATATATATGTGTGTAAACTTTTCTTGGAGCTATTTTCCTTCGTGATGAGTTTCAAAAGAGTAGAAGACTTAAGTAGAGGGGGAGCAGTGTATCACACACACCCCGTGTGCCCGCACTGACCTCTGGAGACATGCATCACACTTGGTGCCTCTGCAGAATGTGATGGTTTCCTAAGTTATAAAAGCATGCAGAAATGAGCCTCTGTCCGTCCAAAAGTCATTCTCCATCTGCTGCTGCAAATTAGGCCATGGTGGGTGGCTGGAAAGTGCCAGCTTTCCTTCCCCCATGGGCAGAGCTCCCCTCTTGCTCCAGACCCTGTTCAGATTTACCTGTAAAAACTACAAGAACCAAAACCCAAACCTAATGTGACCCTGGTTTAAAAATGGGAGGAAGGGGGCAGGGGGAGTTCCATAGTTTGTTAATCAGTGTCTTGGACTCTTCTGAAAACCTCATTTGACAAGAAGCTTATGTTAATAACTCGCCATTACAGCAATGTGTAGCTCTGTTGAACATGAGACTTGCTGGAGGCTTGCTTGCTTGCTTGTGGAAAAATTAAGCTGCACAGGTTAGTTTTAAGGTTTGTGGCAGCAAAAAACCCAGCACATACCTTTGGAGTTCACTTGGCTTTTACATAAGATGTAGCCAAATGGAAAGCATCTCCCACCCAGTGCTTGTCTGCTGCTTAAGTGTGTTCTTCAGAGTTGGGGCTGCTTGGAATGGCTTCAGTGCTCTTCATCCCAGGTGTTTATCATTGACTTCCATCAAAGGCAGTCATTATGCTGTACTGGACTATTTGCTATTTTCAGTAATACACCATTGGTTATTGGTTACCACAGTGTTTGTCCTGGAGCAATCTAAATCCCCAGGGCGACAAAACCCAATTGCATTTTCAGTATTCTAATAGGAGTCTTAAATTATTTTTTTTTTCCTAAGACATGTGTCTTTAGTCCATCTGGAAGCAGACACAGCTTTTACACTGTAAGTCTACACTGTGGATTCTTTCAGAAATATGTGGCTTCTGTGGCTGAGCAATTGTTCTTTTGTAAATAAATGTGACCTTTCAGGGGAGTGTGACACTTTTTACTGAGGTACCATCAAAATGTCCTTTGAACTATGAGTGCATTTTATTAGATATTCTGTATAGTGTTTAGCAGGTTCCTTTCAGATTTCTCGTTTTCTTTCCAAGCACTGTTGGCTGATCACAGAACCACCAGTGCAGATTTGGTTTGTTGGGATATTTTGTCTGCATTTCTGGAGTATACCAGAGACATCAAACAGGGAAGAGCAACCTTTCATCTGTTTAGAAGGATTTTGGGGGGCTGATTTGTTTGCTGGGATTTTTTTTTGGGGCTGAGGTTGTTGTTCCATTCATCCATTAGTATCTTACTGAGAGCTTTCAGAGATTAAGAACTTTGTTTATTCTGCCTGAGGAGAGATTAGAGAGTCTTTTTCTTCCTTTGGGACTGCCAGTCATTGTTCCTGTTTACAAAGAACATGTATTTTTGTAGTTGTAAAAACTGTGCATTTGAGGGACTGCTGGAAATTGATGGAAAAGGGAGTAATAAATTTCAAACCTAGTTCTTCTGAAATTGCTGCCTCCTGGCTGGGTTTGATTCAGATGCCATTGGCATTTTTGAAGAAATCCATTATCTACTGGAAAAATCAATCTCTGCTTTCTAATAAAGAACCTTTCACTTTCAAAAGCCAGAACAGGATTCTTTGTGTTGTTGCTAAAATTTAGCTTATTTATGAGTCTACATGAGGGATGGTGGTTTGTGGAACCACCAAGGGCAATACTCCAACCATATAGAAGAATTCAAATTAGACTTGCTTAAGTAAGGTGCATTATGAAAATTCTCTGTACTTTTCTTAATTTGGGGTTTCTTTCTTCCTTTTTGCTTTCTAGATTTTTCTGTTATGGCTTCCATTGCAGGATAATTCAGAATAGTATGAAAGGCCCTGATTCAGCAGGGTACCAAAGTGATTGCCTATAATTAAACAGGTAAATAGTTCTATGCACTTTAGTGGGACTGCCTGCTTGGGCAGAACACGTACTTGGATGTCTCGTGGGACTGAGACCAGGAGAAGCAGGGCCAGCAGCTGGCCATGTGTGTGAGAGACATTTCCTGAAGGAAATGTTACTAGAGACTTAATTATAATAGAAGCGTTCCTTGGAAGAAACAAAGCAACATTTTTTCCACTATTTTAAATGTTAACAGCGTTCTCTCCTTTTCCAGTTATTGGCATAAGGGCCAGAGTCAATGCAAAAATATTTCCAAAACAGCTACAAGTCTGTGGTTTTAAGGAAGAGTTTTGCAAAGATCAAAACTCCTTGGACTTCTCCTCTAGTGAACAAAAGGCTCCCAGGTGGAAAAAAAAAATTAAGATTCTGAAACATGTTGCTGTGGGGATTGTATTTCTAATTATTATATGTTCTTGAAAGGGTGGAAACCCAGTTACTGCTTTTAATTTTTGAGGGGCTTTTGGATTTTATACAGTTCAGTTCATATGCTATTATACTTGCAGACAGTAGCACAGCACTGGGTTGCTCAGGCTTTAACTTGGTTCTTCTGGTATATTAATTTTCATTTCTGATATAATATTATCTGTTCTAACTGGCTTTGCACTATCTGTTTTGAAGACTTAAGGTCAGAAATGTTTCCTTCCTTACTCATTTCACTTTCTCGTGTCAGTTTCCAGACACAAGATCTAGTCTCCAATAGTGTTGTTATTGTGATTTCATGACTTGCCTTATTTTGAAATAGAATGTTGTTTTTCTGAATGTTCTGCTGCTTCTTAAGTTGATAAAATATTTTCCAAAGGCAGTAAATCTGCTTAA